AAGTTCATAATTTATTACAACACCAACCGAACATCCAGCTTTATCGTTAAAAATAACAACACACGTCCCCCCAACAAACTAGAGAGAACCAATCTCGTATACCGATTTTTTTGTCCCGTGCCACACTGTGTTGGGGAGAGTTATATCGGCCATACGAGAACTACTCTTTCTAGAAGACTCACCATGCATACACAGAATGGTGCCATTAAGGACCATATGGAACAGGTACATCATCAACCGCTTACGAGGAACATATTGGATCCCAACACAACGATCCTTGAATATGAACCCGATCCAGTTCGCCTCAAAATTAAAGAAGCCCTTCATATCAACAAGCATAAACCCTCACTCAATAAACAATATAACAGCTTTGATCACACTTTGCAATTGTTTTCCCAATATCACGATCTCACACCTACTGTTGCCGTTGGGGTTAATCCACAGGACCTGAGTGTACCACAACGATATGAATATCATTCTACGTTGAATACATTTCAACCCATTAACACGCAGTTTGTGACCCATTTTTCATTTTTAAAAATTTCTTTGCTGCAGTTCTTAGATCATCTGTTAAAAGTTTACTCTGAAAATTGCCTCTTTATTTCTTAGCTTCAGCTTGTAGCCTAACGCAAAAGATGAATTCACTTGAATCTTGGTTTGTCGTTGTGTTCCGTTAAGTTTTTGAATTTCAATTGTTTCATCAATATTGTTTAGTTTCTTTTAAATACGACGGTTTAATCATAAATTTAAAATTTTTTTTGTTTATCATTATCATTTTACTGAGACCAAAATCCGATCCGTTGATCTATTACTATTTGTTCTAATTAATTTTTTTAAATTTCTAAAAAATGTAAGTCTTGAGGTGTATTTATAAATATATATATATATATATATATACATATATATATATATATATATATATATATTTTGTTTTGTTTTTTATTTATTTGATTTGAAGGATGACCAAAAAAGATAAACTTGTGGATAGGCCACCCTTAACTAAAATTTCTAACTATAGATGTAACAGAAATGTCATGAAATACATACACATAAACTCACGTTCACACATACTTACAAACACGCACCATACTACAATTCATATCACAATACTGTTATACAGAACTGAAGAAACAGAATCGATGAAATGAAATGATCTGGAAACCAAACATACGCTCACTTACACACTCAAATAAATAGACACATAAATAAATATGGCCACACACCATACACATATAGGGCGTGGCCACATGTCTCAGGGAACAGCCTAGTGAATGGACATCTTACACATAGATATGTGCCCCTCCACATACACCCCCGCTGTACCCTGGTTAACGCTCCTAGAATACAATATTTATGTACATATATACACATATCTACACATACACATGCACACACTCACACACATAGACACACTCACACACACATAAACACGCACACTCACCCAAACAAACTCACGCACACTTACCCACACACACTCTCACACACAAACACACACAAACATACACACACACACGCACTCATACCCTATACCCACCCTCAGACACACACACACACACACACACACATACATATTTCGTCGAACTTGATCGAATCTCACAAATTGTTAACGACCCGGCAGACCCAACCAAGCCCAACATAATTCATATTCCTAAAACACGCTGCCAGAATACACAGATACATACATACCTATAAAAATTCATAATGATTTAAATATGAAGTATATTTACTACAATTACGTATTAAAAATATCATTTATGGAAACATATGAAAACCGTATACACATGATAAGTTGGCCAAATGATAAGAAATTCTTGTTCTAGTAAATAATAAATGTAAATAAATGTTGTTCAAGAAAAGGTGACTATGATACATACATACACAAACACACCCAACACACGCCTGACACACACACACTCACCCACGCACACACACATACATACAAAATATGATTGCCTTTTTGATATCAAGTTAAAAAAAAAAGTATTTTGCTCAATCAAAAATTTTTTGACTTTGTTTTTAAATAAATGTTTTTGACATATATTTTTAATTTCTGTGTTAATAATTTCATCCCAAACTTTTGGACCAGAAATTTTTAAGCTATTATTTATTATTTTCAATCT